ATTGGATACGGATGGGAATTTTACACAGAACATAAAGCTGATTTTTTGATCTAATTAAGAGCTTATTTAATTGAACTGTAAAAAGTTAGGGTTAATTCAAAGAGCTTGGTTTGGTTAACTAATTTAGGTAAAAGAGATTATACAAGAGCGTGTTAGTTTTTCTCAATACCATCTTAGATAGAACGCGTTCTGAATAACCAAATCTGCACTGATTGCATGATTAGGAAAGTTGCAGCAGAGCTGAAACCATTTTTATTATTGATTTTCGTTTAGTTTGTTTTCACTGCAATTTAGTTTTTAGTTTAATTTAAAAACCCCCCTTATTAATAATTCCTACTTTGACTAGAATGTGCCTGATGCAAAACGGCATTGACCGTTAGGTTGTGTCTATGAGGATTCTTCCATGCTTCCCTGTGCAATATTATTAGTGCAACGAGTAGTGAAAAATTTATTTGCTTAATACGCGCGCGACAACGTGTTAACAAATTGGCACTGTTGTCGGGGACACGGTGCTTTCTAATAGTTTTATGCCCAGAAATTTTCGTTCAGGTACACCATTAGTTTTTGATCAAAAAATTGAAAGAACTACAAGGAAACTGGAGAAAGAAGAAGCAAAGAAAAAACAATCAGTTGGTTTCTTTGGTTCATCATCATCCTCCCCACTACCAAAAATCTCCACACCACAAGGCAGTCCCTTGTGGAACGAACCAGACCCTACTTTTTCGTCTTTTCTGAAAGTACCCCCATCTTCACCTTTTAACAACCCCTATAAAACATACTCTCCACTATCCTCAGTCAAATCTGAAGCCACAGACTCTTTAGAACCTGAATCTGAAGAATCAGACATGAGTGGAGAAGAAGCAGAAAAGACTCTCAAAGAGCGGGCCATTCAAGAAGTCAATCAGCAGCCTCTCTGCATTACGTTTCTAGAAGCCCATAACTTCAAACTCAAATTTGGGCTGATACATCTTCTTCCCACATTCTGCGGTCTAGAAAATGAAAACCCACATAAATTCCTTAAGGAATTTCTTGTGGTTTGTTCAGGAATGAAGCCACATGCGATAACTGAAGACCAGATAAACTTAATGGCATTCCCCTTCTCACTTCAAGATTCAACAAGAGAATGGCTATATGAGCTCCCATCAAGTTCCATTGCTACTTGGACAGAACTTGTGAAGATGTTTCTAGAGAAATATTTTCTAGAAATGCGAGTTTATAGTCTCAGAAGAGAAATCCTTGGTATTAAACAAGGAAAAAGAGAAGCTTTACACACTTACTGGGAGAGGTTCAAGAAGCTTTTGGTTCGGTGCCCACAACATGGGATCAGTAATTATCAGCTCTAAAATTGCTTTTGTGAAGGTCTAATACCCACGGAGAGGCGCCTGATAAATTCTTCCAGTGGCGGTTCCTTAGGAGATATGACACCAACTGAAAGTTGGGAGCTAATTGAAAAGCTGGAAATAGACTCCACATTCTGGTAATGAAGACGAGTGGTATCCGGATCAGCCAAGGGGTGTCAAAGAAGTCAGCAATGTTCATCTGGTGTCTCAGATTTCTGAACTGACAAAGGTTGTTCTGCTCCTGACAAAAGAAAAGGTCGCTGCGAAAAAACAATGTGGAATCTGCTTAAAGACGAACCATCCTACTGATATGTGTCTAAATTTGCAAGAAGATGTTGCTCCAGTCAAATCTTTCAGAGGATACCAGCAACAGAAAAACATTAATCAGCCTCCTAATTTTTATCAAAACAATAATTTTTTGCTAAGACAGCAATTTCAACATCCTGCGGGTTTTCAGCAACAGCCAAATTACCAGCCTAATTTTCAGAATCACCAACAACAAAACTTTCAGAACCCGAATTATCAGAACTAATCTTCAAATCATCAACCCAGCAGTTCCAGCATGGCCTTATAAGATAGAGTGAAGAGTCTTTCTACAAGTACCCAAACATTCCAGACAGAAACCAGAGCTAGTATCAAGAATTTGGAACAGCAGGTGTCTCAACTTGCCACTTTTGTGGGTCGTCTGGAATCTCAAGAAAAGTTACCAGGACACACAGAAAAGAATCTGAAGCACAATATGAGAGCTATTTCCTTGAGAAGTGGAAAAAGTAATGGAAGCTCAAGCGCATCTGAACCGGAAAAAGAAGATGATGAAGTGTATGAAGAAGTTCTGGTAGAAGAAGAAAATGTAAAAGAATCGGAGAAAGAATAGGAAGAGTATGAAGAAGTGTTGGTTGAAGAAGAATTTGAAAAGCTGGAAGAAAAAGAAACTCCAAAACCAGTCCAGCGAAATCTAAAAGAATATAAGCCCTTACCTCCATTCCCATCAAGACTGAAGAGTACGAAGCGTGAAAGAGAGGATAAAGACATCATGGAAATTTTTCGTAAGGTTAAGGTAAATATCCCACTTTTGGATGTTATCCAACACATCCCTCATTATGCCAAGTTTCTAAAAGACTTGTGTATTTCTAAGAAAAAAAATGAAATTTAATGAAACTATTAATGGTGGTGAAAAATATTTCTGCCATTTTGCAAAAGTGTTTACCTCCAAAGTGCAAGGATCCGGGAATGTTTCTCAGTTCCTTGTAAGTTGGGGAACCTTCCGGAAGAGCCTCTCTAATCCTCTCCTCCTAAATTTTTTGTTGATGAAAACATGCAACATATACTCTCCGTCCTCAACAAAAAGCAAGACAAGGGTAAGAAGCCCATATCTGAAGATCATCAAGTTCACCACTCCAGATCCCCACCAAAGCAAAAATCAGGCTGGTCCCAAGAAGAAATCGATCGAGCACTTGAGGAAAGCATTCAGATTCAAGCTCTTAACGATAACACTAATCTGATGCTTGGACTCTCACCTCTCTGCCGCAAAGGAATTATTCATGATTTGGACATAGTACCGTTCATGTACTATGATATTCCTAATGACGATTCGGAACAACTTGATCTACCGCTCTCTCCTTACAGCAAGTACTACACAAAGTTCGCTCCTTTGCATCCGAATGATGATCCTTAATTGATCATCCAAACCGAGTGTGAACGATTGAAGACCTTTTATACTAAGAATTCTCTTCCCCAAAAGCAAGTTTGGTCTAGAAAAAGGATCACCAAAATCTTCGGGTTTGCAAGGAAAGTCTTAACCAAGTTCGACCTCAACTATGTGTTGTTTCGCTTCTACATCCTCGGGAATATAAACCAACCCAATACACCATCTCTGACGCTGATTTCCCTGCAATTAATCCAAACGATATCCTAACTATTGTTGCTTATTTCCAAAACCATCAAATTAACGATCTCAGCATGGGAGCCTATCACGCTACCTTAAGCTTCCTCAAGGATTATATGGCTGAATTCTGCCAATGCGACTATGAATTGGCATATCTGTTTGGAACTGAAAACTACTTAGCCAAAATCGACTTCATTCTGCCAGAAGTTGAGTTACTGGCTGAAGGGACCATCGATGAACCGGTGCTAGGGTTTGTTAACAAGCAACGAAATACAAATAAAAAGGACTTCATCCGAGTCCTTGACAAACACCTAGTTCCAACTAAATCCCTTCAAAAATTCATCAGTCGTGCATCCAAGTCCGAAGCACCCGAACATGTCAAGGAAAAGTTTGTGAGTCAGCTACAATGGTACATTGAAGTCAGAGAATGGTTGCACCGAGCATATATTTTTATCAGGGGAGAAGCAAACTGAGCTGACCTGATTGCTAAGTTCACTTAGGGGGAGATTGTTACCTGAAAGTGAACCTCTAGAAATCACACAATAAAGTTCTGAGGTCGGTCTTAGTTCCGAAGTAGAAAATGTTCCGGAGTCACTTTGTGATTAGAAGTAGAGTTGGCATCAGGAGTAAAAGCTTATGGTGCGAAGTGAAGGATGTCCGAAATGAAGATGATGTTCAGAAATGATGTATCCGACTGTAGTAATTTATCTTGTCATTTTGTTTGATGTAACTAGTCATAGGACTTAGTCTCTTTTGTCAACTTGGATAATCAGAGTGTCAGAAATAACTCTTTTATCCGGTCCTATGTATGTTTAGGAGTTTGTACGATGTAACCTTTTCACCTATTTAAGGTGCGTTTAATGACAAGAATACCAGACGGGTTGTTGCTCCAAAGATAGTATTGATTGAAGTTATTTCTCTTACACCTCTCTTTCAAATCCATTCTCAAAAACATTCTTCTTGTTCATTTATTGTCCTTACTCTGATCATTATCTTCATTCTTCATTTATGGCTTGAACACTTTGTTGAATCTCTTACTTCAGACTTGACTGGTTTACCAGACCTGACTGGAAGCTTCATTTAGTAGCAGACATTGATCTTAAGCATTAACTTAAGGTTTGAGTCTCAAGCCTTGTCCCTGCGCAATCAGATCATTTTTCATCACAGTGCCTACACTCGAGGTGTTCGAGAGTCTTCAGTTCCGGTTTGGGTTTATGCCCGAGCATGGGGTCCAGTTCCCGTCGGAGGGATCTAGTATTTATCAACCGTCGGCCGGGAATGTCGGTTTTTTGGTGGCAATTTTCAAGGCCAGGTTCCGTCTTCCTGCTTCCGACTTCTTCGATGAAGTCATGCAGGAGTATGGTTTTTCTGTTCACAATATGACCTCGAACGCCATGAACAAGATAGTTGGGTTCGAGGTGGGGTGTCGGGCGTTGGGTGTAGTTCCTCATTTTCAAGCGTTCCAGTCTTTCTTTAATTCGTCGACTCATTCAGGGATTCACACTTTTTCTCAGCGCCGTAACACACACTCTGTTATAGTTAACCAGAAAGCACCACGGAAAAACTGGCAGAATCGATGGCAGTGGGTCAACAGTGATTTGGTTGGTGCAGGCTATCCTCGTGTGACCATGGCTTCGGACCGGGCCCCCCATCTGTCGGGTGTCAGTTTATATGTGACCCGCGCACTAAGGGGAATTTGTTTTGACGGCGAGGACTGGCCGGACTGCATATTGGCGGCAGCCAGGATGAGCGCTGCTTGGCGTTCGCGTGGGAAGATGCCTCAGTTTTTTATGAGTAAAGGTGGTAAGTGTTACCTTCCTCCCCCCCCCACCCCCTCTTTGCTTGTCGTCATGTTCTCCCTCTTTTTTCTTCATTTTTCATTTTGAAGCGGGTCTTGCGTTGTGGTTGTTGTAGGTGACAAGAAGCTTTTGTCTCTCGAACAAGTATTACGGGGGAATTTTGGGGGTGATCTCGAGTATCACGAGGTTCCCCTAGTGGAGGCGCTACTTTCTCCGGCTACTGTCGGGCCTGCTCCCAAATGCGAGGCCTCTCCAGCTGTGGCGAGAGCCGAGGATGCCTCTCCGTCTAAGGGGTCGGGTGTGCCTAGCTTCCAGGTCGTCTCCCGTCGTCGGTCCGCTGTTGTAGATTATGCCCTTAGGGAGGATGTTGGTGGTGATACTAGTGGCCGACGCTTACTCCGTAAACACAACATCGAACCTTTTCTCGCTAAGTCACCTGTTGTTATCGAGATTGCTGATGGTGATGAGTTGTCAGCGGCAGAGGCGGTTTGTTCACACCGTCAAGGAAAAACAACCGTTACAGGAGGTTGCTCAACCTCACCCTTGGCTTTGGATGACAACTCGTCGAAGGTGGGGCCTTCCTCTTCGGGTGCCCCTGGTGTGTATCTCCCAGGGTGGAACCTTACACCCAATTCTCTTATATCGGAACAGGGTCCTGCTGGTGAATGGTGCCATCATGCATTTCCTTCTGCTACCCTGGAGGCCCTTGTTGCCCTTTCTTATTCTCATATGGCAGATGATCTTCAGTACGCCGCTACTCAGGTGGCTCCTTATTTGGTGGCGGCTATCGACCATCTTCGTTACATCGGGGTTGACAGGGTAGAGTTGGCTCTCATTAAATCGGAGCGTGACGAGCTTGCAGAGAAGGTCTGGCTCCTCGAGGAGGAGCGGCGTAAGTTCGATGAACACTACCTTGTGCTATCTGGGGAGAAAACTGTTGTTGAGGCTCAGGTGGCGACTCTAGAAGGGCAAGTCGACCGCCTATTTCAGCAAGTCCAAGATTTGGCTACGGAGAAAGCGGCATTAGTGGAACGTTTGGTGCTGCGAGGCAGTAAGCTCGCAGCCGAGGTCTCGAGGAGGAAAGTCCTGGAGACTGATTTGTCTTGGGTTCTTCGAAAGGGGGTGGTCCGCGTAGTGGACGGTGTTGTTGAGAGTTGTGAGTTTGCGCTCGAGATTCGCTGCATGAAGGCCGTGTGTGTGGATGCTGGTGTGTAGAGGGGCAAACAGGCGGTGCTGGTGTTGTCCTCTGGTAGCGGCTCCAGCCCATCCGAACCGGGTGTCGTGGCTCGGTCTACTGACGCCATACACGCTGCCATTAGGGATTTGCATAGACGGACTTCGCATCTTATCTCAGACTGGGCGAGCTTGGTCTTGCTGATCTCCACCAGTTTTGTTCTGAGGAGGAGGACGTTGTTCCAGACGAAGGCATTGAGGGCGGCATGTGAATGCAACCTTTTTAGGGTTGATGTTTTACAGGATGTTTTTTGTACGCTTGTTGTTGTTATTTGTTGTTTGTTTGACACCACAAGATTCTTTCAGTGTTTAATGTATGTATGTTTTTTAAATGTCATCATGTTTGCCTTTGTTTCAGGGAAGCGTCACCCCGGAGAGTATTTTGTAGGCCTGGACTTCGGCCCTAAGCCGGGTGACCTACTACCCTCCTTTTGTGGTCGCTTAAGGTGAGTCGAGGTCGTCACCTCGAGGCTCCCTGGACCCGCGTCTGTTAGATTTTTATTTTTAGGGGAAGGTTATGATCCTTCATACCCTTTGAATATGTCTGGTTCGAGAGCTTAGAGGCCTTGTTGTTTGGCCGAACCGACGTGTCCCCTGAGGAATCATCTCCTTTCGAGATTTATGGTTGCATGTTGGCGATTTGGTATGCTTAAACGGTGTGGGTGATCGGCCTATGATTTCGTTTGGAAAATTCACGCAACCCTTCTTTTTTGTTTTTGTTTTTTATATTTGCATCTGCGTGCGTATGCGTATATGTTGATTAGTAAGATTGGTCCTATTTTCTTGAAAGACTTTACTAATTGGAAAGTACTTGGAGAAAATATCGAAGGTTTACGTGTTGTCACTTTGACTTGGATGCAGCCCCGAGCCTAAAAGTTCAGGCGACACTGTCCCTTTTTTTTGTTTTTGCTATACTATTCGCCAGTTGTTTTATAAGTAAAAGTGGTGTAGGTTGCGTGTGTTCCATGTTTGGGGTATTGGTCTCCCATCTTGTTCTTCCAGTATGTACGCTCTGTCTTGGTGCGTCTTCACTACTTTGTACGGGCCTTCCCATGTCGCGCTCAGCTTGCCCTGCGGCTCCGAGTGGTTGGCCTCGTTCTTTCTCAATACCCATTCTCCGATTTTAAAGGTTTTTACTCGCACCTGTTTATTGTAGAAGTTTTCTGTGCGGGCTTTGTAGGCTGCTTGTTGCAACTGTGCTGCCTTACGCTTCTCGTCTAGCATATCCAGGTCTTGTCGTCACTCTTCCTCGTTCGAGTTTGTGTCAAAGTCCGTCAACCATAGGGATTCGCGCAGAATCTTGAGCGGGAGCACCGCTTCCGTGCCGTATGTTAGACTGAATGGTGTTTCTCCAGTTCCTGACCTCTCGGTGGTGCAGTATGACCACAACACCGTTATCAGCTCTTCAGTCCAGGCCCCCTTTGTTTTCATTAGGCGTTTTTTAAGTCCATTCACGATGGTCTTATTTCATATTTCGGTTTGTCCGTTCGCCTGGGGGTGCGTGACTGAGGTAAAGCGACGGTTGATTTGCTTCTCCTCGCACCATTCTTTGAGGCGATACCCTCAAATTGGGTGTTGTTGTCACTTATCAGGACCCTGGGAGTTCTAAACCGAGTCAGGATGTTCTTCCAGATGAATCTAATCATATGTTTGCCCGTGATTGTGGCCAAAGGCTCTGCTTCAATCCACTTTGTAAAGTAGTCGACTGCGACTAATAGGTACTTTAATCCCCCCAGGGTCGTTGGGAATGGTCCCACGATATCGATGCCTCATTGGTGGAAAGGCCATGGACTACTGATGCTGGTCATGGTTGTCGCTGGTAGGTTCTGGAACGGGGCGAATGCTTGGCACTCCAGGAATTTCTTCATGACTCCCGCCGCGTCTTTGTACACGTTGGGCCAGTATACCCTCAGGCGCAGTATTTTCTTTGTGAGTGCTCGCGCCCCCTCATGTGCTTCCTTCTCACCTGAGTGGCTTTCTTCCAAGAGAGCTTGGCCTTCATTGCGCGAGATGCATCTGAGCCACGGTGCTAGATACCCCCTTTTGTAAGGTTGCGTGCCTTTCACCGCGAACTGGGGGGCTTTTACTTTTATTTTCCTGGCCTCTTCCGGGTCATCTGGGAGGATCCTATGATGCAAGTAATCTAGGTATGGTTTAGTCCAGTCTGGTAGTTCTGTCATGGCATCCACTTGCTTGTTGTCGATGCTCCTTTCTCTGAGTACTTCTACCATCACCTTCTTGGTTAAATGGTCGAAGGATGTTGAGTCCAATTTATTAAGAGCGTCGTCTCTTGTATTCTTCCCCCCTGGGCATTTTTTTGATTTCGAAGTTGTTGAACGAGTGTGCTAGTTGTTGCGTCTTTTCCAGGTATCTTTGCATTCTCCAATCTTTACCTTCGTAAGTTGCATTAACCTGGTTTGTTATTAGCAGCGAATCGCTAAATGCTCGGAGGTGTTTCGCCCCGACTTCCTGCGCCAAGCAAAGGCCCGCGAAGAGCGCTTTGTATTCGGCCTCATTGTTTGAAACTTGAAAATCAAATCTTAGGGAGTATGTTATTTCGTCCACCCTGAGGTTTTTCAGAATTAGGCCCGCGCCTGAACCCTCCTTACTCGCAGCACCATCGGTGTGTAGTTCCCATACGTCTTTTCTTGCTTCGGGCTCCAGCGGGTCTGCAGGTAAGGCCTTTGGTATTCCCTAAACGTGTCTGGTATTCCTACCAGGAAGTATGCTAAGGCTTGGGCCTTAATACTGGTTCGTGGCCGGTATTCTATGTCGTGTTCCCCCGGCTCTATTACCATTTCACCAGTCGTCCCGACTTTTCGGGTCGCAGTAGGACCTATTTTATCGGGCAGCTAGTCAGCACTTCGATTTTGTACGCCTGAAAGTAGCGTCGTAGGCGTCTAGCCATGTAGATTAGTGTCAGCACTAGTTTTTCCAGGATGGGGTAATTGGTTTTGGGACCTTGCAGTGCCCTGCTCACGAAATGTATCGCCAACTGCTTCTTGTTTCTCTCTACTGCCAGAACCGACAAGATGGCTTCATCAGCGGCTGCAAGGTATACTTGTAGGGTTTCGCCTGGGAGGGCGCTTTCCATTGTTAGCAACTGACGTAGGGCCCTCTTTAAGCATTGGAGGGATGCGTTGGCCTCCTTCGTCCATTTGAAGTGATTCTTGTTGACACACCCTTTCAAAGTTTGGAAGAGCGGTAGAGCTTTTTCTGCTGACTTGGATACGAACCTGCCTAGCGCGGTTATCCTCTCGTTGATTTCTTGGACTCCTTTTATATTGTGCTGGATCTTGGCATCAAGGAATTCCTAGATTTTGACCTGATTTGGCTTGATTCCCTCTTTGGTTATCTGGTATCCTAGGAACTGGCCCTCTTCTACTCCGAAAGTGCATTTTCCCGGGTTATGCTTCATATGGGCTTGTGTTAGTGTCTGGAGGGTCTCTTCCACATCGCGGAGCAATGTTATTTCACTGCGACTTTTAATGACCATGTCGTCGACATATACCTCTACATTCTTTCCGATCTGTTCTGCGAAGACTTTATCCATTAGGCACTGATATGTTGCTCCGGCGTTCTTAAGGCCGAATGGCATCTTCTTGTAGCAGAACGTGCCTCGATCGGAGTGGAAAGCTATCTTTTCCTCGTCTTCCCGCCGCATCTGGACTTGGTGGTAGCCTTTGTAGGCGTCAAGAAAGCATTTGAGTTGGAAACCTTCCAGGGATTCGACCTTTTGGTCGATTTCTGGGAGGGGGTAGTGGTCTTTTGGGCATGCGTTGTTCAAGTCGGAGTAGTTGATGCACATCCTCCATGAGCCATCATGCTTCTTTACCATTACCGGTTTTGCTATCCATGTGGGGAACATTTCTTCCTGGAGAATTCCCGCAGCCACGAGTTTCAAAACTTCTTCATTAATCGCTTTGTTTCTATCACTCGCCTGCCCCCTTCGTTTTTGTTAAATCGGAGAGCTGCCCGGTAAGATGTTAAGGTTGTGTTCGATGATCCCTCAGTCTACACCTATCATATCTGCGGGTTGCCATGCAAAGACCCTGGCGAACCGTGTTAGTAGCGCGATTAGTTGGGCTTTGGTTTCCGCCAATAGGTTAGCTCCCATCTTTATTACTTGTTTGGGGTGTTCACTGTGTATGACGTGCTTTTCTAGTGGGTGGTCTTCTTTGCATTTCTTGGGGGCGCTGACCAGGTCTGTCGCCGCCATGATCTGGTGACATGTCCGTCTGTACGGGGCATCAGCGACGATGGTTGTTGATCCGGTCCTTATGTCAAATTTGATTGTGCCATGAATTGTTGACGGCACGGCCTGTAGCTCGTGGAGTGTTGGATGCCCTAACAGTATATTTTGTTCTGTTGGGTGACGGATTACAGAGAATTCGATTGTTCGTGTTTTGTTCTCTCTCCCTTCGTGGCTGACTAGCGTCAGTGGGAGGTGTATTGTGTCGAGAGGCCATAGACTGTGTCTTGTGAAGCCGACCATGGGTCCACCTGCCGGGGGCTTCAACTCTTTCTTCCATTACTCTGGTAATTATCGGAAGCAATGTTCGTATAAGATGCCTGTGCTACTTTCATTATCTATGTAGACTCGGTGGATTTGTTTGTGTCTTATGCATGCGGTTACGAGGATTGGGTCTCTGGGATCCCACTCTGGCGGTCTCGGGTCGTCTGGCGAAAAGTTAATGATGTTGGCCCGTCGGGTCAACGCTTACACGTTGTGGTTTGCTCAAGTTCGTTCTCATTTCTTACATGACCTGTTAACCGTGAACACTCCGTCTTGCTTTCATTTTGTGTCTAGTGTCAGCACTTCGTTTACTAGGGAAGTAATCGATTGGCACCTGATGGTCATCGTACTGCGCGTGACAACGTCGTATGGCCCGATGTTGTCGTGTTGCGTCGGCATAGTGCGTGTGTTCACCATTGTAGGCACGTGTTGTTGTTTATTAGGTTGTGTCGCACTGGGTGCACGTCCGGATGGCGCCAACTGTTGTGATATGTCACCGGCTTGACTCCATCTTTCCGAGGGGTGGAAATGAAGGGCCTGAGAATCACAGCGAATAAAATGGGACCGTCAGTCGTCATCCGAGAGGATGTCCCGGAACGAGGTTCTGACGATCAAATCAGTGAGAGTCTGAGAGAGAGTGGGTTTAAAGCGTAAAGGGAGTGTTAAAGGGTTTTAGATCTTTGTTGGGTTTTAGTATACTACAACATCCTATGGTGCACATACAACCCTAAATACCTTGGATCTATGTTTTCTCTATTATACATGCAAATGTTTTCCAAGGCATTAAACCTATAACTAGCATGCATTTGACATAAACCATATAATATACTAGTTAGGGAAACATACCTTTTATGTGGCTTGAAGTCTTGATGTATTTGGCCTTAAGAGCTTAGCATCAATAGTATGAATGCCTCAAATGGAATCACAACACACC